TGTGTGTGTGTGTGTGTGTGTGTGTGTGTGTGTGTGTGTGTGTGTGTGTAAGAAGTCAGGGGTCCTCTCCTTCTACCATGTGGTTCCCAGGGATTGAATTCATATTGTTAGGCTTGATTGCAACTGCTTTGAACCATGAGCCATCATGCAGTACAGGGCTATTTTTAAGTTCCATTATGACCTGATCATTAAAACCAAAGCCAGTTCCCCATGCAGGAGAACAGTAAGAAGAGAAATTACCCACAGATAATTTCCACCTAAGGGCTCTTGTAACATGAAAGCTCCTCTAGCAGAGATTCCTTGGAAATGAGATAAGGATAGCAGGGCCCTAACCAGGGTGATTGTCCAGAATAAGATGATATAGGCCACCATTTCTGCCTGGAGGCTGAGATATTTCGTATATGTGCATTTTTTCACTGTCTATCAAAAGGAATACTTCATGCTGGACTGGTGGAAAATTTAAGAAGCTTAAACAGGAGGATTTTAAGTTTCAGGCTAAACTGTGCTGTATCCTAAGACACTGTCTGGAAAGCAGGTGATGGAGGTGGAAAATTGTGCCTTGTGATGATGAAGATAAGACTGACTTAATGTTTTTATTCCCTGCAATTGTTTTACAAAAGTTATTAGCTAAACAATTTATTTTATGGGACAGAAATTACCCTAAGACTATTCTCTGTTATCTCTCAGTGCAGCATTCATTCTTATTGACAGCCTCATTGAATAGACTTGTAATGAATGTTCTCCTTTAGTTGCCATAAACAGTGAGTTTTCTCTCTTTTGTTTCTAATGCTGTGGTTTATCCAGCATACAATAGGTGATAAGCTGGATCACCTATGGAATTTCTTTGCTCTCCTTTTTCCTCAATTTTTTTTTTTTTTTTAAGGATCAACATGAGCGAAATCACATTGCAGGGTATTGGAAGCAAGTTGGACCAATTGCTGTTGGCTCTTTCTGCCTCTTCATATTTGACATGTGTGAGAGGTGAGCAGGTATTAGAGTCACTATAAGATGAAATGGGCCTTTCTGTGTCCACTTCCATTTTACCAGGAGGGGTTTTGAAATGAAGAATTGTGGTTGGGGTCCATGGAATGAAATATTAGAGGTTAATATGCTCAGATGAAGCCTGGGACTAAGTCAAAAGCTCAGTCCTTTATACATGCAATGTGCTTGGGCTCCTCATAGTCTAAAGCTCTACATCCCCTTATGCTCTCTGAAGTTTATTTTCTAAATATAGCACACTCACACCCAAACCATACTCCATTGTTGCAATGCTGAGGAAAGCTCTGTTCTGCCTTTGTGTTATGTCTTTCATCTTTGTTTTTTGTCTTTCATCTTTGTTTTTATTTTACAGAGGAGTACAACTCACAAATCCTTTCTACAGTATCTGGACTACAGATGTTGGAACAGAACTGGCTGTATCCTTCCTTGAGATATTCGGGATTTCATTTTTCTTTTCCTACCTGCCTAGTTTCCATGATCATTTTCTGTAGCTCAGCTGATGCTTTCTGTTATGAGGTCAGCCAGGGCTTTGACCTTGAGACCAATAGTAACAATTGGAGATAAATAATGAGAATTACTATGTTTTCAGGATGTGAAAAGAGCCAAAGTGGAGAGCTTGCAGGATTTCCCTGGGGTTTTATATTCAGTTTAAAGTTTCTGGTCTTAAGTATACCCTAAACAATCTAGTCTATAAGATCCAGCAGCATCTTCTTGAACTTTCTGGTTCCTGTGGAAGAACTATAACAGAAGTCACCTGTGTGAGAGACTTCTGCTGTAGAAAGTTTGGGACCAAAGTTATCACTGGGAAAGCTGGGCTCTGAGGTCACTTGTATGCAGGACTTATATGGGAAAACCAAGCCTGTGTATAAATCTTTGACAGTGGCTTCACTGGATAACCACCTTTAATTCCTGAGGCTCTGTGGGAATGAGACTAATATAATTAGTTCTTGAGCAGTGCTGAGACTTCTGGTTGGTCTACATAATCACTATCTGCATCACTCCTGTGAAGAAAAAACTGAGTCCTAACTTATCTCTCTAAGGATGCTAATATTGAAAACTAATATTCCAAATACCATGTTTAACATTCTAAGAGAGATAGAGAAAAAAACTTCTTCTCTGGAGTGAGGGAGTAGCCTGGTGTTGTGCTCTTCCTTAATAGCCGATGCCTTGACATGTACTCATGAACATACTTTGTCAGGTGGTAATGCTTATATCAGTTTCTTAATGTTGAAGAAGTTTTTGAGCAAAAAAAAAAAAATACATACTTTCAGTTCCTTTAAGTTGAAAGAGTTGAACTTCCTCTACTCCCCACCATTCACAATGGTAACTGTATAAGAAGAACAATTACAATCTTTAGTTCAACCCTTTCATTTTACACATAATATGAAGGACAAGAGAAGCAAATGAAATTTTAAGTCTTGCAGCAAATAACTGTCTTCTCTTTATTACATGTACTGTTGGTCATAGTAAAGAAAAAGGAATTTTGTTTTAAATATACTACTTAATGAAAATGGATGTAGAGTTCACACCTGTCAAAATATTAGAAAATATTGGGCTCTAGTGGCATGCCTCAGTATTTCCTCAGTGAGTGTACTATCTGCATTCACAATCCCTACCCTCACTCTGTGTCCTTCTTCCCTTGTCAGGACACCTTACATTTTCTACAGAACCTGACCCATTTATACCTCCTCCAGGGTAACTCAGTCTTGTTCTTAGAAAAGTCCAAACACAGAACAATGGTTTCTAAACATGTTTACGTGTGTTTCCTGGTTCTAGGAAGTCTGATTAAGGTATATGTTGGGTGGAACTGAAGTATCTTTATTTAAACTTTTCAGTGATTTTAAAACAGCTTCCCATTTTGTAACCTTTACTAGTGTGTTTCAATTTATGATACATTTGAGTCTCCTCAAAATACACTTGGAAGACAGGTTCTGATTCACTAGCTCTAAAAGGGACCTAACTGCTTTTGTAAAAATAGACTGCAGTTTTTTTTTCTTTTTCCTGACTTAGAAAAGTTTGAATATTCCCTTCTATGAAATTGTTTGTTAGAAAACCCCAATCGGTGGCAGGTTTTAATAGTAGTGCTTTCATCGAAACCTCTTGAACACTTGGAGACAAAGATGAATGTCACCAACACAGCTGGGAAGAGTGCTGTGCCCTCTTAGACCTGCCCTTGGTGAACTTGCCCTTTCCTTCACTGTATACTTGCAGATGGCTTTTATCATTGTGGCAGGTATCTGTCTCTGCCTCTACTTCCTGTTTCTGTGCTTCATGGTATTTCAGGTATTTCGAAACATCAGTGGGAAGCAGTCTAGTCTCCCAGCCATGAGCAAAGTCCGGAGGCTGCACTATGAGGTAAGAAGCTCTCTTGGCTTCTTCTAGAGCTAATGCTCATAATCTCCAGCTGGGTGTATAAACATACAGCTCTGAAAGTTAGAAATTTTAGTCTCAAATACACATTAAGGGGCCATAGAAATTATCTAGTCAGTAAAGGTGCTTGCCACACAAGCCTGACAACCTGAGTTTATTCTCTGGAACTCACTGTAGGAGAGAACTGACTCTTGAAAATTGTTCTCTGACCTCTACAACTCACTGTGACATGTGTGTGTTCAAATTCTTACATTCTTATTTCTCATTTTTTCATATTCTTTCTCTCTGTCTCTCTCTCTCTCTCAGACATATAATAATAATAATAATAATAATAATTAATAATAATAAAATGGACTTCTTATATAGGGTCCTTGGGCAAATAAAAAAGCATCCAAACAACTATTTACTGGGGTTTTCTAAGGTATCAATGTGTTCTCATTGTAGGCTTAGAATTTTCAACAAATCTACTTTATTTAGGGTTTTTAAACACTTCTACTTCCCTTCTAACCCACTGACCAGCTATAGGGAAGAAAGAAGATTATTAGGAAAAGGAGGTTGTAGATCTCTTTTTTTCAGTAATTCAATAATTTATTTCTCTATAGCTCTTATCCACAAGGTATATATGAATGACATTTAAAATGGAGGCCTTTATCACTTTTTTAATCAGTCTTTAGTGTATTGAATCAGCACTGTGCTGTAGTTCTTAAATGAACATCACATATTTTTCTTTCCAAATGTTTGCTATATATAAAAGAAGTTCACGGCAAAATGCTTGAAGAAAAAAGGAAACAAAAAATCAGAACTTCCGAGAAATATACAGCTTTTACATTAAAAAAATATATATATGCTCTGAAATATACATACAGGCATGCCAAACAAGCCTTCCCTGCACCTCTCCCACTACCCCTTTTCAAAGTATGGTAGGAGTTCTGATTTCTGCAGAATTTTCAAAATTAAAAAATAATAATAAAATAAAATAACTTCTTACTCTGTAGCAAATCCAGGGCTTGTATATTTCAAATTAATTCTGTAAAAAACTCACAAGTAAAATAGTGCATATTTAAGGGAAATATACAGACTTTTTCACACAGAAGTACATAATAAGATTTTTAAAAATATATTGCTATTCATTTATTTTTGCACAAAAACATATGGGCTGTAGACCTTTTTATAAGTAGTTCCTTAGTGTGAGTCTACTCTTGTTGTCCAGATAACAGCAGTCCAGTCCAAATGCCAACACCAAACAGCAACATAAATCAGCACAAGCCAGCAGAAACAGTAAGACTCCACTGAATATGAATGAATCACCAAAAGCTAAAAGACTCATTTGGATTGTCCCAAGAAGTTCTCTGGAACGTTTCTCTTTGCAAAGTGAGTGTCAAAGAACAATGACCAACAAAGTGATATTGATCCAAAAAATTTTCTCTCACTGTCCATGGGCTTCCATATATCTCCTTTCCTCAAAGTCCACCCACACATATTTTCAACTGGCCAAAGTCACACACCTAGAAGAGGACAGCTTGCAGCAAAACATCACATGGCCTCTCACAAGACAGCTGTCAGCAAAACATCACCATAACACAACTGTTTCTTCCAAGAAATCAGAAACTTCTACTTCATCTCATAATTGTAAGATAGAAACCTGTGCAATGGGTTCTTTCAGAGCAACTTTTGATGAGACCTAGGTGCTTACTGGATGGGACACTGGTATATATAGAATCGGAGCTTAGCTTGGGGTATGACTTCCCCCCTAACTTTTGCAGATTTCAGCCCAGATGATCTGCTTAACAGGCTTTTTAAAAAATCAAAATAACTAATTTTTATTGTTTGTGTGTGTGTGCATGTCACAGCACAAGCATATAGGTCAAAGGATAATGGTGTAGATTCAGCTCTTCACTTTCGTTTTTACAGGGATTCAACAGATTAAATTCAGGTTGCTAAGGTGTGTGTGTGGCAAATAACTTTATCCTCTGAGCAATCTTTTTGACCCATACTTCTCAGACTCTTAGTAGTTCATCCTCTCTAAAATACTCAGCAGGTGCTCATGTAGAGTTCAATAATATGCTTGTAGGTTATATTTCTTATTCAAGAGAAACACCTAGCCTCCTCCAGTCTCTAATGCAGATGTCATTTATTAGATTCATTATTTAAATGGATTGTTATAAAAGAAAAGAGAGAAACTGAAATCATAGGGTTCTGCATAGCCAATCTGCACAGAAGATAACCTAATCAGTAAGGCACCATTCCTTAAATCCTGATATTTTGGAAACCAAAAGTACTTTCTCAGGTTTGTCTATTTTCAGAGCTGGAATGACAAATGAAAAAATTCAACCAAATTGATTTTACTTGTATTAATATGCACCCCCCAAAGGGAGACGAATTTTATTACAACTGTAGAAAGCTTGCATTTGGTAACTTTAAACCTTTGTGGATAACCTGTTTATCAGGGAATTTGGCAGCCTCATGACATGTTATAAATGTAATTTCTTAGACTCCAGAATCACTGTTTAGTGAGAGATAAGAACACAAAAAATGTTTTGCTCAAGATTTTTCTGACTTACATTCACCTCTGCAGAAAGGGTGTTAATTGTGAAATTATTCTACTATCATTCATAGATATTTGGTTTTACAGATTTATAAAAATGTATATACACATGTGGAAAGAGAGAGATTGAGAAAATGAGACAATGAGAATATATTAAACCACCTTTTCTGTCTTTATTAATAGGGTCTGATTTTCCGGTTCAAGTTCCTCATGCTTATCACCTTGGCTTGTGCTGCCATGACTGTTATCTTCTTCATTGTTAGTCAGGTGAGTGGATCTGACCTATGCCTTCTCAAGAGACTATCCCTGGAGTGGTTCCCACCTATAGCAAAGGACATTTTGCAGAGCTACTGAGGACAAAAGTAGAGGGTCTTATTTTGTTTAGCTACATAAGCCTTGTTTGTTTCAGACTACTCTTTCTTGGGACTTTCCTCAAGCTGGTAATATTGACTGGCTTCCCCCCTCTGTAGACATATTAAAGGGACATTTCACTTAAGAGAGTAAAAGTTTCAAGCCCTGTGGAAAACACTGATAAGCATGTGGTAATTTGGTTTTACGTCCTTACTTAGCATTAACAAAGATCCTTTAACAGGCCTTTAGGCCATTCTCTGTGTTAATTATACTGCCATCTAAATATGGACATAACTCAAAAGTCCCATCGGTAGAAACTTACCTTTATACTGAATATATTTCTGAAACTCAGAGTTTTGATGTACTTTAATATCTCATTAATGATTATAATTTTTGAATATTGATTACTTACTTTGAAAATTGAAAATGTCATCTAAAATCTGGTTATTTATGTACATATTAACCAGTCGTATTTTACAAAGTTCTTCTGAAGTAAGTAGGGTAGGAACTCTAACTCATATTTGCAAAAATATTGACTCCATGGCTTCTGGGTGTTTCCATATACTCTGTTTCCCAGAAATGTAGTAATTTAATGAGTTATTTAATATTTCTTGGGTTTAATCTTTTTGAACTGTACAATGTGCCATATATGGAAGGAATATTGGCAAGTATTTAGTAGAGTCTCTTGTGTGTCATAAGCATGAACAACTACATTAGTAACTTACCAAAATGTATTCAAGTTGGAGATTAGAACTCAATCACTCTGGATCTTTTGCTGAGTTTCTACCATTGCTATGTTTGGCAGCATAGAGCAGCATTCAGATAGAACCTTAGGAGAATAGTGATTCATCCATTCATCTGCCACCATATTTCTCTTTAGTTCCTGAACTCTGTATGGATTCTTTTGGCAATCTAATGAAGCTATGGTTCCTTTCTCAGAATGCTTCTAAATAAGTAAAATAAAATATTTTAGATTTCAAAAGGAATCATGTATGTATACATATATCATATACATGTGTGCACACACAAACACACACACATTACAGATAACTCAGACTTACTATGAACATGTCCTCAGCACTTAATTGGTATACAAATATGATTTCATGAGTAGTGCTAATACCAAGATTTGTTTTGGACATTCATAACTAAAGGAAGTAACAACTTCAATTAGAAAGTAATGAAAATAGGGATACTTTTTTTCCCCTACTCAAGTAAGGCCTCTTTAATTCCATACAGGGGAACAAGTTATGAACCTCTAGTGCTAGGTTGGCTATTCGCACTGGGATGTATTGTGTTTCTGTCTATGTTCAAGGTTAACTACATATAGTAATAAATAAAATAACATACCAACATGGGTTTTACATTGTTCACCCTATCTTCTTTGACTTGTAGTAGGAGTGTATTTATATCAAAAAGTTTGCTTCACTCTAAATGGAGCACAGCTGTTGCCAATATTGAATTAATTTTTCAAAAAAATTTATTACCCATCTGTGTGTTTGTGTGCACCTGTGCATGTGTCAGTGTGTGTCTGTGTATCACATGTGCCACAGGAGTCAAATTTTTTCCTTCTACCATGTGGATCCCATGGATAAAACTCAGATTACCAGTTTCATTGACAAACACCTCCTATCAGCTGAGCCATCTCTATGGTTCCTGAATGAATCTTTAATTCAGTAAAGGCTCAAACACCCATATTCAAGCAGAGGGTTTGGGTTAGACTTGACTCAACCTTTGGCTAATTTCCTCAAGTGACCACTGTGTTTACCGGTTTCTCCAACCCCTTAGCAATATGCTGTTCTTACACAGCCTACTGAATTCCCTAGCTATGAGAATAGAAAACCCTCATTTGGAGTATCCGGTAAAATGGTCATGTTCTCAGGAACGTGAAAGAGAAAGGTACTTCCATTCTTGAGGCCTGCCTTTGTCTTCCCATACCCACTTTTGTACCACTGTCTTCTCCACTGACTTAAACTCTGCAGAACTCTTTTTACTTGAATTCTAGAGGGGCTAATTCCTAAGATGACAGTACCAAGACTGATACTCCAACTAAGGATCATTCATGGAGATAACCTAGAACCCTTGCACAGATGTAGCCCATGGCAGCTCATTCTTCAAGTTGGTTCCCTAGTAATGGGAACAGGGACTGTCTCTGACATGAACTCAGTGGCCTGCTCTTTGATCACCTCCCTCTGATGAGGTGCAGCCTTACCAGGCCACAGAGGAAGACAATGCCGACAGTCCTGATGAGACCTGATAGGCTAGGGTTAGATGGAAGGGGAGGAGGTCATCCCCTATCAGTGGACTGGGGGAGGGGCATGGGTGGACAAGAGAGAGGGAGGGTGGGATTGGGAGGGGATGAGGGAGTGGGCTACATTTGTGATACAGAGTGAATAAGCTATAATTAATAAAAACTAAATTAATTCCTAAAAAGATGACTGTACCTTGCTAGAATTTAATCTTGTACGTGTTTAACTGTTGCACATTTTAAACTGATGGAAACTGTCTTACCACAAAATTTGCAGTCTTTTTCTTTTTTGAGATAAATTAATTCACTGTTGTTCCAGTATTGGACTTCAACTTGCTTTTTATATTAGCTGCAATAGTCAAATGGGTGGATTTCAACTCTGAGGAGGTATAATGTCTTTGAATTCCATTAGTACAACATATTCTTCCTGCTGTAATAAAAGGTTTTAAAAAGGTTTATTTATAGATACCTAAAACATTTTTTCTGCACAACTGTGTCCTGGGTACTGTTAGTATAGTCATCAGAGGATTTCTTTTCTAATTTCACTGTGCAATGTCAGAGCAATGAGCTTACCTTAAAGAAAATCTCTTGGGTAACTTTTTGAAATGTAGCTCAGCCTTAGGTAAAAGGTATGTTTTTTAAAACTTCCATTATATTTGTTGGGAGAGCTTCCATTTAAGCCCCATGAAATATATGTGGGGAATCTTGCCAGGATATTGAAGCTCTGAGGCCAGGAATAAAAGGCACATAGGAAGCTGTTGGAATGACCTTGAAGCTTTGTAACTGGGGCTGTGTTTCAATATTTAATGCCTGCTATTTTAATGGTCTGAGTCATGGCAATGAAGAAAAGGTATAGCAGAGTGTTGGCAAGGAACAGAAGTACAGTGAAGGAAAGAAGTACAGTGAGTTAAGGAGCCTCCAGAGGTCTGATAAAATGCAGGTCAATATACATGTAATAAACTCTCACAGAGTATGTTCCCAAGTTTTGTTTTTGTGTGTGATCACTTCATTCTGTGTCTAACACAGATGTAAGTGAATGTTTCTTGTAAGAAAGCCTGTGTTGGGAGTTTGGAAATCTTATTTAACAGTGAGATGCTGGCTGTTAAAACTACTGAGAGTAAAAGGATTTTGCCACATTTTGCTGCAAAGGTATGTAGATGACAGGATATATCTCCTGGTGAAGGAAAAAGCCTAAGCCCTGGGGTAGCCTTCAAACCATAAAAGTAAAGATGCCAAGACCTTTTAATTTTTCAAAATTAAGGCCTTAGCTGGGGAGATCCTCAGCTGTCTCACCTAAGTTAACCTGTCCACCTTGCTTCACCCAGCGCTCTTCTCTCTTCCCTTCCCAGAGTTTCTGTCTCCCTACTAGGAAGTACTGCCTTCCACTTCCTATCCTTCTGCCCAGCTAATTGGGCAATCAGCTCTTTATTGACAGATGCCTTAGACAAGAAACTATAGGCTTAGACAAGAAACTACAGGCAACTGAGGAATGCTGGGAGCAAAAGAAATAGACTTCTGAGGGAAGCGCATACCAACTGGTTACCTGATACCAAATAGTCAGCCCAGAAAGCACATACATACAAGTAACATTGATTATAAGACCAAGGTGATTGTATTTATTCATTTATTTATAAGTACACATACACATTTAAATGAAAAAGAGGCTGTGAATTTGAAAGAAAGTGGGTGTGAGGCAGTACATAAAGTTTGGAAGAAGAAAAAGGGAAGGGAGAAATAAGTATATTACAATATTTTTTGTGTATTATAATCTTAAAATTAAAAATTCTAATGCAGCCGGGTGTGGTGTCACAGGTTGGCAGATCTCTGTGAGTTTGAGGCCAGCCTGGTCTACAAAGTGAGTCCAGGACAGTGAAGAAACTGTGTCTCAGAAAAACAAACAAGCAAACAAATCAAATGCAAATCTTCATAGAAATTGAAAAAAAATGCTAATTATATTAAATTAAATTTCAATTAAATTAAAAATAGCAATTATGAATTTTCTCAGCTTAGCTTGCAAAATGCAACCTCTTACATGCCCCTTCCTTAGTTGATAGCCCATTGCCCCAACAGAGCAGAAAAGTTGTGTTTCTTATGTCTTAATGAGTCCAGCCTCCCTATTAACTGGACTAGACCTGAAGAGTAGGTTTCTGGAACTCTCTAAAAACTTTTTTTCCCTACCATCATATTCATTGAACATCAGTCTATGTTCCACATGGTGTAGTTTTTATAAATTGGGCACAATTTGTATATTAATGTTAGAGTGGCATTGGGAAACGTTGCTAAGAAATCATAAAAGCTTGAATGCTGACACATGACCTAAAATAAGTAATGGTTACAAACTCTATTTATCAAAACCGCTACAAGGACTTTTCATAAAATTAATTATTTTCCAAAAGGAATAAGAGTTTATGATGGTACGACCAAGGGATAAGCTAACATTGTTAAGTCTACAATTGGATTTTTTGGTTTCCAGACATTCCAGGTTTTTCAAGACACACACACAAAAAAAATATATATATAAGTCTTATGAGGCTTAGGTACCCTTAGGGAGGCCTGAAGGAACACATACATATCTTCTATAGCATAAACAAGAGCCAAGTTTAACCTTTATTAAGAGTTAGATACAGCTTGCCCTTTTGCAACTTAAAAGTGGCTCCTAGATAAAATTTTTATAAACCAGTCTCATTAAGCTGTCAAAGGAACACATACCTAGTACATTCTTTTATCCACATTTAAAATTTTCCTATAGCAAGCAGAAGTGTTCAAAATCTTTTCATTGATCTCAATGCTTGTACAAATCATTAGTCACTCAGCACAAGAGCTTTGTAGCAGTTTTTAGTGTAACCCATGTATCTTCAAAACACTCTGAAAACAATTACCAAGTCATTATCTCAAACAGAAGCAATTTCTGAACATCTCTGGCAAAAAAATAGAAAGTAAATGGAAGTTTCCTAAATACCTTTATGAATAGCTTACCTAAAATGACATTTCATAAATAAGTACAACATATTGTTACTGTCGGCCACACAATTTCTAGAAATTATGTATATATTCCATTTCAATCTAAAACCCTTCAAGTTTTTAAGGAAACTGAATATCAGAGTCTTCACTCTTCCTTATTGATTATATGTGCATTTATGTTTACTGCATATACATGAAACATCAAGTACCAATGATGTTGCAGCTGCAACAAGCAAACTAGGGATAGTTTTGCCTCAGGGAGCTTTTGTTTAGATAGAAAGAAGGCAGAGAAGAAATTGTAGTGGATGGAGTCAAATGCAGTCCTTTAACTAAAGAATAATTGCACTTAAGTTTCTAGGAAGAGATACTCTCAAAGTTATACTAATATATAACCAAAATAAGAACCATTGACTGCTCCCCCCTCCAGGCCACAGAAAAAGACAATGTAGCCAGTCCTGATGAGGCCTGATATGCTATGGTCAGAGGGAAGGGGAGGAGGACCTCCCCTATCAGTGGACTTGGGGAGGGGCATGGGAGGAAAAGAGGGAGGGAGAGGATGAGGAAGGAGACTGCAGCTGGGATACAAAGTGAACAAACTGTAATCGATAAAAAATAATTTAAAAAAAATTTGCATCTGACACTAGTAAACCCTCAGTAGACTTTAATTTATATGGATTTCATTCACATAAAAATGTGGAGTCTTATAAGGCCCTTAACTTGTCCATTTGAAGAAGAGCCTTGGCTTTCATGTTGATTGATTTCCATACTGGTATTATGCTTTTCTGTTTCACTTAGATGTCTTATTTTCTTTGTCCATAGGTGACTGAAGGCCATTGGAAATGGGGTGGTGTTACAGTTCAAGTGAACAGTGCTTTCTTCACTGGCATCTATGGAATGTGGAACCTGTACGTCTTTGCTTTAATGTTCTTATATGCGCCATCCCATAAAAACTATGGGGAAGACCAGTCTAATGGTGAGTCTCTGTCTTTTCATTACAGATTTATTCAGGATAGAGTACATTTGTCTGCAAGATTTAGACAGCTAAAGAGCCCTGTGTTCATCAGTTAAACTTTTTTCCAGGTGTCTTTCTATTACTAGCAGAGAGTAACTGAGGGGATTCAGGAGCCATAAAACAAAAATTCAGCACAAGCTAGGTAACCCTTGAAATACTTATTTTTTTTATCTCTAAAATATATTGAGAATATTTCACTACTATAAAATGTTGTCCAGTTCCAGTAGTAAAGAATAAAATTTGTTTTTCTTACTTTTTTGTAGTTTTTTTTTTGTTTGTTTTTATGGGCTTTCTTTCTTTCTTTCTTTCTTTCTTTCTTTCTTTCTTTCTTTCTTTCTTTCTTTCTTTTTGTGTGTTTTTCAAGACAAGGTGTCTGTGTAACAAGCCGGGGCTGTCCTGGGACTTGCTTTGTAGACCAGGCTGGCCTCCAACTCACAGAGATCCACCTGCTTCTGCCTCCCTAGTGCTGGGATTAAAGGTGAGAACCACCATGCCCAGCTCATTTTTCTCACTTTTATGTGAGCAAAATAATTCTATGAAAGTCTGCCACATTTATTCCTTCAATGTGGCAGACTTTCATAGAGTTTCCTGAGGTATGGAGCAAAGGTACCTGGGATTTGCTTTCTTCTCCTTGGTTCTCTTTATGAGTTTTGGCTGTGTATGCATGCATATGCATGTATTTGTGCGTGCGTGTGTGTGTGTGTGTGTGTGTGTGCGTATGTTTGTGCTAGGATCAACCCAAGACATTATGTATTCTTTTCAAGAATTTTTTTTTTCCAAACCAATTTCTCTTCTACTGCTCAGAATGCTACCTTTTCCTACCTTATGATCACAGGCATCCAAGACATTGATCTAAAGCTATATTGTATTTAGCCAGTCTGGTCATGTCAGAGGAAAGGAAACTGAGTACCAGAGAAGAGAAGAGATTGTTAAATATTTACCCTAGTTATCACAAAGGGAAATGATTGTCCCTGCCCAATGCTGTTTATATGTAACATATGGCCAATAAACTGGTTTAATAGCTCTTCTTTTTTTTAAAAAAAGACTCTTTTGGCTTTTTTATACCTGCTTTACCCTAACTGTATCCTCATTATTATGTAACATAAGACTTCTCTGAAGTTAGTACTAGTTTGAACTGTCTGCCTTGGTTCAGAGATGAGCACCCTGGCATCTCCTTGCATTAAGACCTGCCCTCACTTTTAAGTATTCAGTGTGTATATATGTTGAATGAGTGGATTTTGTCTTCATCAGAGCCTGTGAAACCCTATCCTCTTTGGGGCACAGTCTACATACATATTGCCTTCTCTTTGAAAACTATTTCTAATATCACACACACATTGGATCACAGAAAATTATGCTAAATAAAACATTTCTGTATGCTGGTGTCAGATTGTGCTAATTAGTTAAGTCTGAGTCAAGCTGATAAGCATCAATGAAGTTTTCACTGCAAATTATCTTTTTTAAAAGAAATATTTATTAATTTATTTATTTATTATGCATACCTTATGCATTATTTATTATGTATGCATACATAATAAATAATGCATGTACACCTGTGTGCCAGAAGGGGGCACTAAATCTCGATGGTTGTGAGCCATCATGTGGTTTCTGGGAATTGAACTCAGGTCCTCTGGAAGAGCAGCCAATGCTTTTAACCTTTGAGCCATCTTTCCAGTCCAAGAAGTCATCTGAATGCTTTAAGTAAACTAACTTTTACTGGGGCTGGGGAGATGACTCAAATGCACAAGTGGGGGTCATCAAGACCAGGTAAAACTAGGCATGGTGGTATGGTGGCAGTAACCCAGACAATGGAGTAAGGAATATCAGGGAGGAGACAAAGACAAGCAGATCCTTGAGATTTGCTGCTCCCTACGACTATCTAAAAAAGTGAGTTGCAAGTTCATTGAGAAACCCTGTCTCAAGAAATAAGGTGAAAAGGATTTGAAGACGATACTTGACATCTATATCTGGCCTCCACCCAAATGCACACACATATGTACATGCACTCTATGCAAATGCACAAACAAATATGTATACATACATACTAAAATTGTTTGTCTTAGAAGAAGTTAAAATAAACAAATTTTCTCAGGTTTTAATTTGTATCCATTTTCTTACATATGGAACTAGAGTCCTAAGGAAAAGACTTGAAGGAATATGATTATGCTTTTTATGGCATAGATGTCGGAGGTGATCTAGCCCATGCCTTCTCTCTTCTAATGGAATCTTGACTCCTTAAGAGCAGGATTGATTCTGGTTTTGGTTTTTGGCTTTGTTGTTTTTCTCTTTTTGTAGATAAGGTCTCATTGTGTAGCTCAGGCTGTGCTAGAACATGAAATTCACTTGTCTTAGTTCTGATAATAGAGGCATGTAGCAGTAATAATTGGCTAAAAAATAAATGGAAATGAGGAGGAGCCAAGAAAGGTGACTCTGTGTAGTGTCCAGAGCAAGGACTGTTCAGTCCCACTACTATCTGTTTTCATACTGTACTGTTGCTTCTATGGGACAATGTCCTGGGAAGAAGCTTTATCTTTCTTCTTATATACCTGGACTTCTTTGAAATGCAGAGCTCTTGACATTCTGTTTTTAATAAATCTCTGGCCATGAGTCCTAAGTGAGTCTGATTACCCACTTCCTGCTTTTCTAGAGGGTTTGAGACCTAAACATCCATTACCTGCTATTCCATTGCTTGTTCATGTATTACAATATGTAGCAAACTGGGACATCAAGCTGTTTAAACAGCCAATCTTCATAGTGCCAGCATAATGGGACTCTGGATTATAAACAAGAACATTGACATCCTGCTAGACTTTAACAAAAACCGCATGGCCTTGGCCATGACTTGATTTTGAGATTTTTGTCTTTCGAGGAAATATCACATGAAACAATTGCTATGTTCCCAAGATGTTGTAATAAAAATGCTAAAAAGTTGTAGTTAATGAGCACTGACTGTATTAACCCTTTTGGTTTTTGTTGTTGTTGGCAAATCTGTTAACCCTCTGCAGTGCTTTTATCTATTGTAAATGATAGAAGACCACATAATAGGTCCTATGAATTCTGGAGCTTTAGGAAATATCCCAGAGCTTCTGAGAAAGGTCTAATTTGAAATATTCCAGAAAAAAATGCAAACAAACTCAGGAAGAGACACTGTACTTTAAATTCTCTCAGTGTATGAATAGCATTTATTCTCTGAGGCCTTACTGTGTTTCTTTTTCTTTTTCTGAAGTATTTTCATTGTTAAGCTGTCTTAATAAATAGATCCATGCTTTCTGTACCCTGTTCCACCAAAACTACCTTCACTCATGAGGGATCCTTACCCTCAAGGGAAAACACAGCTGCTTTCCAGTGGAGGGTTTGTCCCTAAACTCCAGAAAAGAGTGACAGTGTCAGGATGTTAAGCTCATCCTAGCTGGGCAAAGGTAAAAGGAGCCAGGGTAGGCACATATTGATGAATGATTGAAGAGTATGTACTACATGGATAATATTGTCCTGTGTAATTGACTTATTTTAAAAAATAATTGAAAAACTCTACTATTCTTTATTTTTTTTAAACATAATCACTACTACCATCATATTAACACCCAAGATGTAAAACAAACATAATGCTAACATTAGTGCTTTACAGTGAATCAACTTAGATTTACAAATATAGTATTCTTTTTTTTTTAATTCAACTCTGAACCAGAAATGTCCTTATAAATAATTACCATTTAGATTTAGCTTCAAAGGTGAATAGGGAAAGGCTGATATGGGACCAAGAAAAAGTACATAGTAAATGATAGAGTCAATTAAAACTATGAGGACAAAGCCAGGCACCGACGATGACAACAAAGAAGAAGAAGATGATGACAATGTTTATGTGGAGAAAACACAAACTTTGAAAACAGTCACAGATATCTCAGGATCCTGGCTCCAGCACAGACTATATTTGATCCTGAGAAACAAATATGAGTTCACAGTATAGAAAGTCTCTGGCAGTAGTTCTTGAGCAACTGTTATTTGCCCTTGATGGATATAAGGTTGCAATTATGAGGTCCCTTATAATATGAGATAACCTTGGTTTTCACAAAGAATCTATGAAACATTCAAGATGGCCACAGCAGTTTCTCTTCTTTTTATCAAAATATTTACAAGCACAGATATGATAAATATATCCAGTTTTAGCAGGCTGCATCCTGTCAATGGCTTTCTTGGCACCAAGAAAACACAATATGCCATTAGAACTGGGTAGCACTACATCCCTGTGATGATACACCAGAGGTATATATCCTCTGCCAGTGTCCTTGGATATCAGCTAGGTACCAAAGGGCCATATTGTTTAAAAAAAATGAACTTTCCTGTATATTAATGTTATTATCAAAGACGAACTAGTGTGATAATAGCTAAAGAGGATTGTTGTTACATGTGGAGGTTCCCTTAATTCCCCCACCTACCCCAAATAATGTTTTCAAAGGGTTCTTTTTTGTGTTGGATGGGAAGAGACTTTGAGCACCCAGAAGCCAAGAAAGAGATAGACTAACAGATGGAGCAAGACTGGCAGAAATAGGGGTTAATGGGATTTGGAGACAAATGAAGGAATCCTACTCCCCTTCTGTTACTGGAGTATTGCTAATCCTATCCCCTAAGAGGAAAAAGTTGCCCTTCAAGATGCAAGAATCATATTTTGCTGCATAGATTTTCCCTGTCTTGAGTCTTCAGCTAGTACATCAGGTAAGCTAAGGTAACACACAGCATGCTAAGCCTCCAACAGTACACTTTGCAAATATACATAGACAGCAGCTCCCTTGTCTTTGCTCTGATTTGTATGCTAAAAACATATTAGATATTAAAAGAAAAGTAATATTCTAAAGGTGTCTCCACATTATTAGATGTGTATATTTATAGCTGGCATACATTACACTGAACCTCATACTTCATTGGTGGTCTGTAAAATTGAACAAGAGATGGCTTAGCCTGAATAGAGCCTAGCCCATATTACTGTGGTGTATTTCTGCATCTAATATTGCTGTGAGTTGATTTCAGCCTTGGGTACTTTACTTAGCCTCTGCTTTTTCATCAGCAGAATGTTAATGATAAGATTATTATCTCCGTTAGTACAATGCTGTGAAGATTTCTGCACCGGTGTCTGCACAGCAGTTAAACTTGTGTTAGAGCCAGGAGTGATGGTGCACAACTGTAATCTCTGCAGTTCAGAGGCACAGGTGGTGGGTGAGATTTTGGGTTTGGGCCCAGCCTTGACTAAATAGTTAAATCCCATCTCTTAAAAAAATAAAAAGGACAAAGAGGAAAAAGGAAGAAAGAAAGGAGGGGCAGGAAGAAATGTTAGAACATAAAAGCCTATTTTTTGTTTTAGTTTTGTTTTTTGTTGTTGTTTCTTTTAGGGTTTTTTTTTTTTAAGACAATGTGTTTTGGCTATTTCTTTAAGTAACCTGCAACATCATACACATTTTAAGGAGAAATAAATCCATTAGGTAAACACTGTTAGTATTTTGGCCAGGATTGTCTTTTAAATTCTTGTGAATGGCACAAATGTTCCTGGCTTTGATATGATGGTTCATCCTAAATGTAAATCCATAACTTACTTTCTTGACTAGAAGTGTGAGACTTTTGCTTTCTCTGATCAACTGAGTCATGGACTAGATATAGGTATATAGCTCTAGCTCACTCATGTGCCTGCAAGTGTGTGTGAGTGTGTGTGTGTGTGTGTGTGTGTGTGTGTGTGTGTGATGAAAGTTAAAGAGGAACCATGAAACAGCAATGAGAAAAAGAATGATGACATACATGTGACGTGAAAGCAAAAGAGGGCCATTTGAGGTGAAGAAGTTGACAAATGATCAAGAGAAAGAAGGGATAGTGGGGAGAAAGGCATGAACAAGATATATATTTGAAATGCCATGATGAAACACATTAGTTTTTAGTCTAATTTTTTAAAAATAAGAAAAACAACAAAAATGTGTGACTGGAGAGAATGTTCTTGTAAAAGTAGTGGTTGTCCTTGGCTTGAGGTAGCTTTGGCAACCTCTCATCAACTGTGTTATGCATTTTTTTTCTATCTAAAAGTACATTTAATGAAAGTTCTGGAGCCTGATTTAAAGCTTTTTTATTTAGAATGGTCTTTTCAAGAGTCTTGAGAGCTAGTATTTAATGATATGATTGATTATGATATACCATACAGAAAAATGGATCTATAATAAAAAACAAATGCCACATGTTATACATGAACACATCAACCAAACACTGTGTAATGTCTGCGTGAGATAACCTGTGGGAATCTTAGACTTTCAAGCCTGTCAGTGCTCATGACAGTATCTAAAGGGCTGTTGGTTCCCTCTCTGCCCCAACCGTGAATTTAATTATATGTGTTAAACTAAGAAAAGTTTTAGTTCTAAAATATATTGTAGTTGTATAGCATGAAAGTCACACATGCATATGTTCATATGTACATTTCATGCTCTTTTTTCCTGTATTCCTATCTACAAAAAAAGTATGTATGTACCTTTCATAGTTAAACTGACCATTGATGTCAGGTATTTTTTACTCTTCTCACTAGTTTGCTAAATCATTTATATAATCGTTGGATATTGACTAGCAGACTTAAGTGTTTAGCATTATTTTTCCTGCTAATTAAGGAAAGGCATGTATAAAATGCAAGGATTTTTCTATGCCTCCCCTAACTCAGAATAATGCCACAGAGACCTTTATATTTATTAAAACCTTTAAGCACTATAGCTGGACAGACACTCAGCTATTCTACTCTGACAATTCTGGCCTGGCCCACTTCCCAGCCATGCAGCCCATTACCTGCCATCTTAGTCTCATCCAGGCTGCTCCTTCTGTATCCGTGTTCTGATGGCAACTCTGCCTCTCTCTGGTTCCACCTGAGACTCTCTCCCTGGGCTTGGGAGTCCTTCCTTATCCTTTCTGCCCAGATATCGGATGTTTGGCTCTTTATTTGACCAGTCAGAAGGTGATGGAGAACAGTGTTTACAAAACACTGAGATAGCAGATGCTTCATAAAAATCACAGTGCCAAACTCCAGCCTGAATTAAAACTCTGCTGGTCACAGTGCACAAAGACATCACTCCCAACAATCATGTTATTCCATTTTAGGCAAACAACTCTGTGTTCTGATGATGAATTCAAGACCTTGATGTGTAGGGAGTACTGAGGGGCAGGAGAATATTTGTCATGTTTTTGCTTCTTTGTTTCTGAAGAAAGCCCCTAATTATTGTTGGTATTTTTGATATGAGACTTTGCTCTAATATTTGGTTAGGGTAGGTCTTGTTTGTAGGAGACATTGTCATTGAATATGTTATCATCAGTAGCTGCTATGTGCCTACTCATCCCTATACATCCACTGTGAGGTATCCCTTACTGACTTAGTTCACTACATTGGCCTCAGAGTCAGATGCTGCTTGCCAAGCCTTACTGCTGTGCTATTACGCACCTATTCCTCCATGAAATAGGTGCTTTTCTTTCCTGGGCTCTTCATCTATTTCATTTGTATGATCATAGATGACTGTACCTTAGCTTGCACTTTGAGGATTAAATAAGATTGGCTAGTAAGTATTTATAATAGCTTTAAGTTCAAGGTAAGCTTTTATTAAATGTTAATAATACCATGAATGCTATCAGCAGTGATTTAAATCATATATCATTAATGACCTGTCTGTGGGCTAAAAATGATATTTAAAATATATAACAAATTCTAAGCAAAAAGGTTGAGAGAGCCTATCAGGTGTAGAACATGACGTACCTCACCTTCATCCTTGAAAAACTATAATACCAAACACCTTGTTTCAGGTGACCTGGGTGTCCACAGTGGGGAAGAACTTCAGCTCACTACCACAATCACCCATGTGGATGGACCGACTGAGATCTACAAGTTGACCCGTAAAGAAGCACAGGAATAGGAGGCTATGGTACGGCACTGGGCTGGAATTGTGTCTCTATCCCTCTTCCCCTGGAATGGGGAGCCTACTATACAGAACTCACTGAAAAGTGAATGCCTAGTGCTTTATAGGTATGATTTCTTAGACTAATGGATGGACATTTGTCAGATGACCTCTGATGGTGGCTGTTGCAAGACTTCTGCCACTAATATATAGCAAATGATAACAAAAGCTGGTATGACACATTTTTTGTGATCATTGTTAATTAGTGACATAGCAACATCTGTAGCAGGTGGGTTAGTAACCCTCACATGAAGGAGTATACTCCATGGGATGGTTTGGGCCAGTGGGGGCTATATTGAGTAGGTTATGACTTTTTTTTTCTGTTTTAGATTCTGGGATATGTTTAATCATTCTTTGCAGTCCAACATTTGCTGATGTCATAGTATTTTCAACCTCCATCACAGGCACGTTTTTTGTATTTACTTCACCAAGTAGCCAAATGAGTAATAATTTAGGTTCTCAGTACAAATGTGTCCACTTTTTTTTTAATGGCTTACTATAAAATAACCACATTTCATCCTATCAGAGGCATTTCAGTTTTGAAACCAAATCACTGTGTTTGATACTAATCTGTCTCATTGGTTGTGAATTTTGAGAAATATTTGCTAAACTACCCAAGTAGGATTTCTGGTATTAAATGGCCTTTAGGTCCTAAAAACTTTTTTTAACTTCTTGCTTGAAATGTGTTTCTTTTGGTAAGATGCTTCAAACAACCTCCAAAACTGTAAATCCAATCATTTGAATAAATGAAATGTAAATATGTACCCCTTTCTGCCCCAACAATGCTGAGGCATGTAGGCTCAAATCTTTCTGGATCTTACAGTGGCCAGGTGCTGGCAGAAATACCCTGACTATCTATTCCTGGAAGTGCAGCAATACCTTCTGTAGCAGGCAGTAAGTCTTTTAGGCCAGCAGGAAATACATACATGAGAAATCAGATGCTTTAAACCCTCATACATACAAATCTTATTGCCACACCCCGTATTAACCTATGATAGTGGGGTTTTTTTTGGTTTGGTTGTTGTATGTTTCTGTATGTGTGTGTACTTTTATTTTTTATGCTGAAGAAGCCACATGTCATAGCAAATAAAAAATACTGGATCCTGAACTTAGAAGGAAGTTTTCTATCAAATGTCTGTCATGCACTAGTTGTGTGACCTTGTTCAAGCTGTCTGACATGGCTATTCCCTCACCTACAAGCTAGCACTCATAAAGTGTAACTGTGTGCAGGGTCACAATGAAATAAATAATTAATTTACATAGAAATGCTTCAACAATTATACATTTATATAAATAGATTCACTTTGCATTCTAACCAGAATTTCATGAGAGTCATTTTTTAGATATTGCTAACTGAAACAAAGTTTGTGGTATATTCTGTTTAATTGTCCTACCTGGCAAACCCCATCCTGCCTTTCTCCTTACTTTGACTAGAACCATGGTAAACAATGACAGAGAAAACACTTAGGTGTTTGCTGTTGTCTTTATGCCTTTTTCTAACCTGGTGAATGTTGGATAGGTATGTGGCCCATTGTACCTGCATCTACTTACTGATCTTCCACCTGAGTGGAAGAACCAAGTGTGGCCTGTGCCTCTGTTTCTATTAACAAAAAGAAACTTTGAACATTATAGTCATCTCCTCTTCAAGACCATGGAGGAGTCTCTATTCTTTAGGATGGGATAGCCTGAGATAGCATTAAAGAAGTATTATTTTTTTCCAAGAGCCAAATGACAGAGTATTTAAGAAAAAGCCATTGAAACAATGTGATATGGAGAAGGTTTGGATAAGGTTTGGTGTCAAGCCTAGAGGCACAAGAGTGCCTCTTGCCCTTGGAGCCAGAATAAATATGCTTACCAGACTGCCTCAAGTTTTAGACAGAGAAGAGATGTGGTCAGAGTCACCTCTGAAGCAAGGGAAAACTTGATGGATCCAGCCACAAGCTCACAGGCCAGAGCCAGTCAGCAGCAGAGAATGTGAAGAAGGGAGGAATATTTTGGAGATAGAGCAGAGCAGATATGGTTTGAATGTTCTTATTGTGCACTTCATAAAGAAGCATAAAGCAGAGTCAGATTTCAGATTTCAGCCTATCAGGTCCCCTGGCTCATGTAGAGATTCCTGTATGAGATGTCCATATGTCCATAAATAGTAGAAGCCAGCCAGATATGGTGGTGCATGCTTTTAATCCCAGCACTCAGGGAGTCAGGGAGGGAGAGGCAGGCAGATCAATGTGAGTTCAAGGCCAACCTGGTCTACAAAGCGATTCCCAGACAGCTAAGGCTACACAGAGACATGGTTCCCTTTACAAATTGCATTACCCCAGAAAGAATGGGCTTGGGAAAGCTCTAAAAAAGCTCAGCTTCAGAAACTCATATTTCATTACAAGTCTCTCTCCTGAAAACCAGAAGTGGTATGTCCTAGTGCCATTCCAATTACGCAGAGAAGCATGTCAAATAGTATAACCATATGAATAGTAACCAGTCTGCAAAGGAAGGAAAACACTTTTAGCTATACAAACCATCATAAAACATCTACCATGATAGGAACAAAGAAAAATTCATGTTTGTCTAGACTAAGTTTTAATTATTACTTTCTGGAGGGGAATAATGAACATAGTGTTTATGGCAGACTTGGCCACCACTCTCATCAAGAATAAGAAATATGCCTGGGTAGACCATCAGAGCATCATATAAGAATATCAGTAATGTGAAACCAGACATGACTACATTCAATAAGAGAAAAAATGAGGTAGTTACAGAAAAAAACATCTGGGGGCCTGGAGAGATGGCTCAGCAGTTAAGAGCACTGACTGCTCTTTCAGAGGACACGGGTTCAATTTCCAACATCCACATGGCATTTCACAACTGACTCTAACTACAAGATCTGGCACAGACAAACATCTAAGCAAAACACCAATGCACAAAAAATAAAAATAGTTTTTTTTAAAAAAAAGAAGAAAAGAGAAAACCATGCAGGTTTCCAAAGTTAGAGAACTCAAGTGATACAAACAAGGCAATGCTGGACTGACCAAGACTCAGAAGCTCCTCAGAAGTGAATGGAGCTTAATGGATGTGGTTTGGGGTATGTATAACCTTCATATGTATCAGGGGAAAAATTGGGCAGAGAAGCAGATTAGAGTCATTGGATGGATATTCTGGCCAGCAAGGAGGAAGATGGTTGCTCTGAGTGGAGCCTTAAGGAAGGCACTGATTTTGAAATCTGAGACCAGCCATTAAGGAAAGACAATGATAAGATGAAACAAAATTCAAATGTTAATGATTAGGATGTAGAAATAAGTTGATTTAGCTCTGAAGGATTAAAAGGCCAATTTCATTGCCCACAATAGAGAAATACTAGTTAGACAGTAAAGAATAAAATTGAGGTAAAAAGGAGAAAGTTTTCAGCCCTGGGAGGGCCACAAAGAGAGCCTCAGCACTAAGAATGCAGATGAAGCCCAACCAGCTCCAGTCACTGGAAAATATCCTAGAATTTCAAAAACTGATAAAAGACTATTAAAGACAATCAGATCTGGAAAAAAATAGTATGGGTACCAGTTTTACATACACATCCCTACAAAAAAGAATTCTCATATAACCTTAAGAAAAGTATAAAAGATTACAAGTGTCTGCCTACAAAATAAGATTCACCAATATATTCAGCAAATAAGTATAAAATAAAATCACTTTTGTTTGGCTATCACATTGGGTTTTTTTGTATGTATGTTATGACTACATTTTCCCCTGAAGGGAAGAGAAATAGTCATCAAAATGAAGTAAGTGGTTCCACCTATGACCTTCACATGTTTTTTTTTTTCATTGCCCAGAAGTGAGATAATTCATTCTAACAATCCTAGTGCTTGAGTTCAGGCCATACAGAGCCTGTGCAAAGGCCTCTGGAGACTGAGCTTCTCATGTAACATTAGAGTGAAAGCATGCAGATGTGCTTTTGCTTCACCATTCTTGACATATCCTCCTGTCAGGTAATCACTGAGGCTAACAGAGGAAGTAGAAAGTTTTTTGTTGGTGTGTGAAGAAAAATCGCTACTTTTAAGAGAGATCTTGTTCACTGCTACCTCATAAGGAGCTATTTTACTGTAGGACTGTGGTCAGGAAAGGGGAATGAGTTCAGTGAACACATTTTACTGACCCTTATCTCACTCTGAACGACACATTGGCCAGTGTTTTTCAGAATTCCCTTCTTGGTTTGGGTTTACTTTTTTCCTGCAGGCATTCATCCTCAAGGCAGGTGAGGACACCCAGGTGCCCATGCACGCTGACTGTGCTTTTGAACCTTTATCCCCTAGGATCATTTTTATCCTGACATGTTTACAAGAACATTTCTGACTTGTATAAGTTTACTTTCACTACGTATTAGTTACTTTCCTATTTCTGTGATAAAATACCATGACAAATACAATTTATAGAAAGAATTTAATTTGGAGAGGCATGTCAGCAATATGCAGGAATGGTGGCAGGAACAGAAAGCTGAAAGCTTACATCTCAACCACAAGCACAAAGTAGAGAGAGAAAACTGGAAGTAGAGCAATGTTTTAAGCTCTCAAACCTGACCTTCAGTGAAATACTAACTCAGCAAGTCTGCACTGCTAACCCTCCCCAAGCAGATAAATTAACTGTATTCAAATATCATTTCTCATCTAAACCTCTGTACCTTCTCTTCTAAAAACTGATGGATTTCTTGGTTTGTAATTACATTAGTAGCTCATTTTCTGCTGATATCAGAGGAGTCTTCCAGTGATGTTCAAACTATTTTGTGTAAAGAGTGACCTCTTTTTCACCAATACACTTAGCTCTTAGAGTTAGGAATGTCCTTCAGTATTTGTATCAGGCCTTTCCTTCTTGACTTTTCATGTTTTCTACTAACTATGTGCCTTTCCATAGTTCCATATGTTCTTCAGACATAATTTCCATACAGTTTCCCCATTACTATTGATTAACTTCAGTTTTGTTTTCTCATTCTCCCAAAATATTACTCTAAGAGTAAAACAGTATTCTGATTGAAACATTAATGTGAAAATGACACCTTCCCTATGTGGAGGTTTGAAAAGGTATGGCCCACATAGACTTGTGTGTTTGAATGTTTGGCCATAGGGAGTGGCTCTGTAAGGGGATTTGGACTTTTTGGAGTAGGTGTGGCCTTGTTGGAGGAACTATGTCACTGTGAGTGGGTTTTGAGGTCTTGTATACTCAAACCACTCCCTGTCACTTCTGCTGCCTGCAGATCAAGATCTCTCAGCTCCTCCAGCACCATGTCTGCCTGCATGCTGCCATAATGATAATGGACTAAACCTATGAAACTGTAAGCCAGCCCCAATTAAATGTTTGCCCTTAAGAGTTACTGTTGTCATGGTTTCTCTTCATAGCAAAAAGATACTGTACTAAGGACAAATATTTTTAAACAATAGCACAACATTTTTAATTAGTTCTCATGACCTGTGACCATATCATCACTAATGTACTTAGAGATTTAAATATTATTATCAGTGTTGTGTACGCGATCACACACTGAAGTCCATTATTCACAGGAATCCTCCTGTTTAACCTCTTAAGATAAAGTGCTGCATATGAGCCACCACACCTGGCTCATATTTTTTTTATCTTGATTTTAGAATGCATACCTTTCCTTTTACTTTTCTCACACACAGATTCAGTGAGTAAAGTGTATCTTTAGCTTTTAAATATATTTTTGTTTAGAATTTGCTATCTTTCCAAGTACAAGGTGCTTTCAATTGTTGAGATATATATATATATATATATATATATATGTATACATGCATATATACTTACTCAAGACCAGAAAACCTTTCTTTTCCCTATACCTTTGCTATGTCTAGTTTTGTCCTGTACAAACATGCAAAACACATTTTAGAAAATTAGCATACCAGAAAAGCTGGAGAATGGTTCAGTGGTTATGAACTTCGGGTCTTCCAGAGAACCCAAGGTCAGTTCTTGGCTCCCATGTTTGATAGCTCACATCTGCATATATCTCCAGGACTAGGGGATTAATGCCATCCACCAGGACCTGCATTCACATGTACACACTTACTTTCCCCACACACATAATTAAAGTTCAAAAATATTTTTATAAGAATGTCACCACAGTTAAGTGTGCAGCAATATGTACCATGAATTTTCCTCTGATATTACCTGCTCATAATCAGTGTCACACTTCATAAGCTATTCATAAGTTCAGGCTTATTAAGTGAGACATACAAAATCAAGTTTGTTTAAGAGATAGGTAGAACTGCAGGGATATGTTAGCATTTGAAGTATACTTTTATGTCAGTAGGAAAAATTTAAAAATTTGTTTTGAGGTGCAACTTAAAAGGCATTATCATGAGAAATATTCCAGCCTGGGGAACTACCAGCCTTACCAGCCTTTTCTTCATTTTCACAAAGAAAGCTTTGCTGGTAAAAAAAAAAAAAAAAAAAAAAAAAAAGATTGGGATCTGGGAAAATTAGTCACTCCTGCAATTCCTACGTTCTTAGTCTGCGCTGTGGACCCATACATAGGACATCTTCTTTGCAGCCTTACGTGAACTAGGTGATTATCCTAAGTCAAACAG